CGGATGCACAGACAATACGGTCATCGTCTGTAACATAGTATCTGCAAGGTCGTAATCCATTTCTGTCCAGGTTTGCACCGCAGTATCTGCCATCGGCGAAGGTGAAGAGCGCTGGGCCATCCCAAGGCTCCATCAAACAAGCTGCCCATTCATAAAATGCGGCCTTCTCAGGGTCCATCGCAGCATTGTCCTGCCAAGCCTCGGGTATCATGATCATAATGGCTTCGGGGAGGGAGAGAACCCCGTTGATGGTCAAAAGCTCGAGCACATTATCGAAAGCGGCGGAATCAGAACCTCCGTCCTCAACGATCGGGTATAATTGATCCAGCTCGTCTTTGAAGAAGTCTGACTTCATGACACCCTCTCTTGCTCTCATCCAGTTCTTGTTGCCTCGTAGCGTATTAATTTCACCTGTAGTTCCTTAGTCGATGGTGCTCAAATAGTCATGCGGTGGATTTCGGCTTACCGTTGTGAGCTGCCCATCGCAGTGGCTGAGCACGATCCCAGCTGGGGAATGTGTTGGTCGAAAATCGCGAATGCACCAGGGCAAAGTGGCCTTCATAGTCGACAGACACCAAATCATGGTAGTACTGGTACACCTGGACGGGTGACAGCTGACCCTTATACACGATGTTCTTGTTGCTCAGCGAGCACAGGTAGAACCAATTGTGAAGGCCAATGGTATGGGTGGCGCGCTTTCGTAGAACGTAGAGCTGACGCTCGAAATGTAACTCGTCGAAGTTTTCAGCATCCGTGATCTCCGGTGCATTCCCATTGCCATAAGCCGACTTCAAAACGACAAAGGGCTGCAGGATCAATGGCTCTCTTGAAAGCGCCGCTGGCCCCAGCAAGCTCGAATCTCGAGGTACCTCTCGCCACCCGAGCACCCTCAGGCCCAAATCTTCCGCGATGTCATCGAACTTGGTTGTGGACTCCTTAAGGATCTCTGTGTCAGGTTTGAAAAAGAGATTTCCTGCAGCGTACTGACCCTGCGGAGGCAGATCGAACCCTGTCTCCTTTGCGAAGTTCTTGATGAAGAATTTGTGGGGCATCGAGGTCATGACACCTGCGCCATCGCCGTCTCGGGCGTCGGAGCCAACGGCCCCTCGATGGGTCATGTTGCATAGTAGGTTTTGTGCTGTGCCCCATCATATGTCAGCTGGGCTTGTAGGATCAAAGGGTATACGTGGCAGAGTGCTCACCATCGCTGATGATCTTGTGGCTCGCATTGCCCTTTATGTGGCTGTCGAAAGGTCAGCGAAGATTCTTGCCACCGGGACTGGTAGGTACTGACGCAGCGAAGCCAACACCACACGCATCTTTCTCGTACTCAGGGTCGTAAAGACCCTGCTTCACGGGCAGAGCCCCGGCCCATGACCGGTTCTCCGGGGTGTTTTGGTACTCGTATACACTGGCAGACGACTGTTCTTCCTCTATTTGTGGTCCATAAATTTCCTCCACGAGACCCATCCTACGGAGGGCGACCGTTGGTATTCTTTCCGCGCGCAGACTGAAATGTGGTTGGTAATTTGCAATTTGGAACTTGGTAGAGCCTTTGGGACTTTTGAGGTTGACGACTTGAAAGTTTGGCAGAGGTAGAAGAAGGTGTTTGAGAAGGCTGTTGTGGGGGAAGAGTTATGGGAGAGGGGGAAATGGAAGAAGTAAAAGGTAAGAAAGAAGAAAATAAAATTATTGGTCGAGGCGAAATGAACCCCACACTGTTCGACTTTGCCACGAATTGATTGATGACGCAGCGGAAAGTACAAGCTACAAGCAAAGTAAAGTATTCGGAAGTTTGTTCCTCTTTGTTCCCCAGTCCAGCTAGAGAAAGGCAGAGAAAAAGGCAGAGAAATAGGCGGCGGAGATGTTGTGCAGTTGTGTTTGTACTGTAGTTTGCAGTTTTGCCGTTGATTTTTGAAGTAAATTCGTTCGATAGAGATAAGCGACGATGGACCAATGGGAAGAGCAGCTTTTGAGATCTTTGCAGTATTAGTGCGTAATAGAGTAATAAACTTCATGCACTCCACTTTTTCCACTCTGATATTTCACCTTTCCTATATCGAATTCCCATGCATATCATAGGACAAAGATACTGTCTTTTCAACTGGTAAGAATGATGCCGGTGTTTTGGTAGATGATAATCTACAACCGTATGACTGGAAGATCATCATCTCTACATTCATGCTTTTGCTCAGCCTGGCCAATGGACCATATCATAGCAAGACTCATTGCGCTTGAGGACAATTGACTAAAAGCGAAAATCCGAATACGACTTTTGGTGCGCCTACTGGAAGGACACGTCTTCGAGCGTGATCACCCCTCTGCCCAACTCCCGGACCTCTAGGCTCTGTCGACTTTATCTCCTGACGGCCGCCCATCTCGTTGCGTCCGTCCAATGGCTTTCACGTCACAGATCTCGGGGGCTGACCGGGCCCAGGCCGTCGTCTGCGAGCCACACAAAAGTTCCGGAGGATCATCTACGTCCATCAGTGCAGGACCAGCGCCCAAAGGCGGGGAAACCGTACAGCAGTTTTCCCCGGGACTCGTCGCTGCTGTCGGGCGAGCACCAACCATCCGGGGGGAAGTACCTAGGTACCTAAAACGTTCAGTCTGCGCCAGCAAGGATTTCTGAACCTTGAGCTGAAGCAGGCCTGCCCCGCCCATGTCGCTTGTTATAGAATCACACTACGTTTCGACCCTGACAGATTGTGATTGGTTCGCTTAGGTATGCATCTGCACAATGAGATTTTGCTGTCATCAAGCTTTCAAGTTGGCTCCCAAGTCTGGTGGCAGCCAAGAGGTCGTGTTGGGGCTGCAGAGTGGCATTCCGGCTTGTGGAAGGTATAAACTCGAGCGTGCTTCTCAGGGTTCTCAGGTGTCTCAATCCCAAAACATTGGGCCGAGCGAGGAGCGTCAGAATCTTATTCTCACCTGATTTCAATATGATTTGTTACGGAGTCTCCTTAAGAAGCTCTCCTGACTTTCAACTCCTCGATCCATCCAGCTGCTCTCGCCTTGAGCAGTACATTGATTCTTACAATGCCGTCCACGATTTCCATGCCATCATTTCCTAGCACCTTCCCCAGACTCACTTTCTTGCCCACCTTGATCAACCCTCCGCTGCCAGTCTCCATGTACAATTCCACAGATCCAAGCGTGTACTCGTGTTTCTCATCCCACGGCAATGGAAATATGTACTCCAAGTGGTTGGGAACTGTATCTGTTTCCGAAAAGGCTTTAACGAAATCCGATTGCAAGTGGAGCGGGTAGAGCAGCACGACTGGAAACATTAAGGTGCTGGTGGGAGCAATTGGATCTGGTGACAGATGAATAGATGCGTCTTCCATTTCGGGGGGCTGTGCAGTATTGCGCATGCGGATGTTGCGAGCGCGAAGTGCAGTCTTTAACATGAACTTTTCTTTCTGTGCACGCTGTTCGCGCTCCCGCTTCTTCTGCTCGATGGCGCTCAGCGATTTGTGCCGGGCCTCGATCTTAGTGGCAAATCTCTTCAAGGCGGCGTTTGAAGGGTCAATTGTAAGACCCCGAGTACAGGCGTCCGAAGCTTCGGCAAGCTTGTCGAGAGCAAAGAGAGCAAGAGAAGAGCGGTAGTATGCTTTGACGTTCTTGGGATTAAGACGAAGGGCTGATGCGCAGTCGAGGGTTGTAGATCGGTGGTTTTCTGCGTAGATGTAAGCTTTGGGTCTGCATGAGCTAGAGTCGGAGACTGGGAGAACATACTCAACTCCAAATTGCAAAGCGCTCGGTTGACGTAGCAAACTTCTTCAAGCTCCTTTTGTTTCCTGATTTCTGCTTCGTCTTCTGCAATTGAAGGCTTCTCCCCAGTCTCCTCCGGTGATCTGAGCGAGCGAACCTTTTTCCTCTGCGAAAGCACAGCAAGACCCTTGGTATAGTACTCTTTCCCATCCTTCCACCGCTTCATTTTGACCACCTCGTTTCCCTGCTCTTTGAAGCCTTGGGCGATCTCGGCTGGAGTGCCTTCGTATTGTAGTGCTCGAAGAGCATCAAGCTCCACATTCTCTCCGTCTAGCCTGTTCTTAGACATGAATACGCTCCTCGACTGAAGTCTCCCACATGCCACATACCTTCGCCTTCGGCGCTTTCAAGGGAAGTCATAAACAATGGTGTACGGTTCATCATCTGTACAATTTCATCTGCGGTATGAGACCGCACAGATGCCATATGAGGCGGTAGTGCCGGTGTGGTTCCATTCTGCTCTAGCCGGCTTGCATCAATTGGAAATGGGGTGGAATCTGAGGAAGCTGCTGGGAACACAATCGGGGCAGAAGGTGGTGCATGAGCTGGCGCTGGGGGAGGATTGAGATTGAGCGACTCATGGAAGTTGTCTGGAAGCTCTTCAAACCGACTCATGATTGTAGTCGATGGTAAATTTTCACATGATCAATGGAGTTTCAGCGATGCAGGTTGGAATCCCTCTTATGATGATTCGAGATTTCTGACTGCAGAGTCCTAAGTTCAATATGTCCTGTCCGAAGTCAAGCTAAGTACTCTAAGCGAGATCTTTATCTTATCGTAGTACCAAATATGACGTTGCGAAGTGCAGGCAGAAAAGGATGGAATTAAATTTTCCATCTGATTCTTTTCAAGTCTGACTATAGATCATTAAATTAATATTCAAAAAGTGACATTTGACATAGACGAAGCTCATTAGATACTTTAGTTTCCATAGCTTTCGGAGGAATTTTGCGGCGATTCAGTGTTGTCGCGAAGTTTGTAGTAGGTTCTCTTGGGTGGTGGAAGACGCTAGAAACGCCGAGAAAGAAGTTTCGATGCAAATTTCACCAGCCTCACATTCTCATATTTAATTGTCTTCTTCACAACAGCACAACTCTTCCTCTACAACTTCACACTCTACTACTCATCTCTCTCTCCCTCTCTTTTTACGCCTGTCACGACAATAGACTACAGTCGAATTAAATTGTTATCCACTTAACATTACCTTGATCACATAAACACGCATCATGGCACCAGCTATTGGTATCGACCTGGGCACGACATACTCGTGCGTAGGTATTTTCCGTGATGACCGAATCGAGATAATTGCCAATGACCAGGGCAACCGCACCACTCCCTCCTTCGTTGCCTTTACCGACACAGAGCGTCTCATTGGTGACTCGGCCAAGAACCAAGTCGCCATGAACCCCAGCAACACAGTCTTCGACGCAAAGCGTATGATTGGACGCAAGTTCGCAGATGCTGAAGTGCAGGCCGATATGAAACACTTCCCCTTCAAGGTCGTTGACAAAGCGGCCAAGCCAGTCATCCAAGTCGAGTTCAAGGGCGAGACGAAATCTTTCACCCCAGAAGAAATCTCCTCAATGGTGTTGACCAAGATGAGGGAGACTGCGGAATCATACCTGGGTGGCACTGTCAACAACGCTGTTGTCACTGTCCCCGCATACTTCAACGACTCTCAGCGTCAAGCCACCAAGGACGCTGGTCTGATTGCTGGTCTGAACGTTCTCCGTATCATCAACGAGCCCACCGCGGCAGCCATCGCCTATGGTTTGGACAAGAAAGCCGAGGGTGAGCGAAATGTGCTCATCTTCGATCTGGGTGGAGGAACCTTCGACGTCTCTCTCCTAACCATCGAGGAGGGTATCTTCGAGGTCAAATCCACTGCTGGTGACACTCACTTGGGTGGTGAGGACTTCGACAACCGTCTGGTCAACCACTTCGTCGGGGAGTTCAAACGAAAGCATAAGAAAGGTTAGTGATTATTCCCTCCCATCTCTTTCACTTTACTTTCTTTGTTTGAATGGGCCTCTTCCTCGGATGTCAGAGGTTCCTTCCGTCCTTTGGCACATGGTTCTTTCCTTACTACTTGTTCATTTACTAAACGTTTATCACCAGATCTATCTTCCAACGCCCGTGCCCTGCGTCGTCTCCGAACTGCTTGCGAGCGGGCCAAGCGAACTCTCTCCTCATCAGCACAAACCTCGATCGAGATCGACTCACTCTTCGAGGGCATTGACTTCTATACCTCCATCACTCGTGCTCGTTTTGAGGAGCTCTGCCAAGATCTCTTCCGCTCCACCATGGAGCCCGTTGAGCGTGTCCTCCGCGATGCCAAGATCGACAAGTCCTCGGTTCACGAGATGGTCTTGGTCGGTGGTTCTACTCGTATCCCCAAGGTCCAGAAGCTTGTGTCCGACTTCTTCAACGGCAAGGAGCCGAACAAGTCAATCAACCCCGACGAGGCTGTTGCGTACGGTGCAGCCGTCCAGGCAGCCATCCTTTCCGGCGATACATCATCCAAGTCCACCAACGAGATTCTCCTCTTGGACGTTGCGCCATTGTCCTCCGGTATCGAGACCGCTGGTGGTGTCATGACTGCGCTCATCAAGCGCAACACCACTATCCCCACCAAGAAATCTGAGGTCTTCTCCACCTTCTCGGACAACCAGCCAGGTGTGCTTATCCAAGTCTTCGAGGGTGAGCGTGCCCGCACCAAGGACAACAACCTGCTCGGAAAGTTCGAACTCTCCGGTATCCCACCTGCGCCTCGTGGTGTCCCACAAATCGAGGTTACCTTCGATCTCGATGCCAACGGAATCATGAACGTCTCTGCTCTTGAGAAGGGCACCGGTAAGACCAATAAGATCGTCATCACCAACGACAAGGGCCGTCTGTCAAAGGAAGACATCGAGCGTATGTTGTCTGAAGCTGAGAAGTACAAGGCTGAGGATGAGGCCGAATCTGCTCGTATCTCCGCCAAGAACGCACTCGAATCATACGCATACTCATTGCGCAACACTATCGGTGATCCCAAGGTCGACGAGAAGCTCGATGCTTCAGAGAAGGAGACTCTCAAGGCCGAGATCGATAAGACTGTCAACTGGTTGGATGACAACCAGACTGCTACGGTAGAAGAATACGAAGGCCAACAAAAGCAGCTTGAAGGTGTTGCCAACCCTATCATGGTTAAGATGTATGGTGGCGCTGGCGGCGAGGGTGGTATGCCAGGCGGTATGGGTGGTATGGGTGGCATGCCAGGTGGAGGAATGCCCGGCGGTGGCTTCCCAGGTGCTGGTGGCCCTGGTGGTGCAGCTGGTGGCGATGACGGACCGTAAGTTCTAATCTTTCGACTGCTGACAAGGTCGATCGTGTGCTAACTGTCTTGGCAGAACCGTTGAGGAGGTCGATTAAAGCAACCACGCCCATTTTCCTTACTTTCGACTGCGCTGCTCCGCGCCCCATAGATGCGAATACGCCCAGTCCTAGTTCCACTTAGAAGAGCAACTTTTGCTACGATGATGCATTTCGCGAAAGGAGAAAAGCTGGTGCTTTCGGCGTGTAATTAGACTTGTGTGCTCATGTTAGCGAGGTTTAAATGAATTGCTAAATTTTCAAACTCATCCACTGCACTGTGCACCTTCCAACAACCCCAGAGTGACTCCCTCCGTCCCATCTGCAAATCGCCATTATGACACCACATTGAATATCCCATCACATGTGTAGACATGCCATCCACGTCGTATCAACCCACCCTCCTCTCCCATTTCCCCCAACGTTACCCACCACGTCGCGTTGCATTGCCTCCAAGACCAACCTCCACCGTACGTAGACACAACCATCCCCCCTACCCCACAGCCCAGCAAGTAGAACAAACATCCCAATGAATCAATGAATGAATGAATGAATGACTCCTCCCCAACCACAACCTGCCCTACCCCCACCCATTCAATCCCTCCCCAATCAGCCAACCTCGACCGTCCCATGATTCCCGTCATCGAATCCAGCACGCCCGCGCCCGTAGCCCGTAACGGAGTAGCCCCCATTTCCGCATTTCGGTTCTTTGGGGTATGTATGAAGGGAGGGGTTGGGATTGGGATTGGGATTGGGATGGGGATGGGGGTTGCAGGCACGATACAGACAGAACCAAGTGATCTCTCCTTTGAACATGAACATGAACATAACACATACATGTCGCCCTCCCAACCGAGATCGCCTTGTAACATAGAGGAGAAGCGATTCAAGGGGGTGGGCGAGACTACATACAACAGTTGTACAGCCAGCCAGGTGCACCGGTTTCGATCGTTGTGGGAAGGAAGGGGGTCTTCTACATATACGTATGTGTTAGGTCTGAGAGGCGCGAATGCTATTGCTTGACACCCACCCACCCGTCTGTCCGGGTTCTGGGTCGACGGTGGCAAGATTGACGGTATGTCATACGCTCTTTGTGTCCGGGTTAGAAGTACGGGGATTTTGGACGGGTGGAATCAATGGTTAGAAACACCCCTGAGAAAGGTGCTTTCGATTCATTCACAGAGCTAATAAAAATACAATGCTTCCGTCTCTATGTCTGTCCATAGGTATCATCCGATTCAAACCCCTATTAAAGGCCTTCGCTTCACAGCAAATCAATGATCGTGGGTATCATAAATCAATAATCCTATCCTTGTAGCCTCTTCGGGCGGGAGTAACAGAGCGACTCCACACCTTTTGCGTCGTTCTGGTGGCACGCAAGCCCCCAGATTCAACGTATGCGTCTCCTCTTTCCGGGACTTCCCACCGCTTCGTCCCCGCCAGCGGCGCCATCGTCCACCGTGTTAGCCGGACTCGTGGCCTCACTGCTGCCTGCTTCCGTGACTCTGCCTCCACCTGCGCCGTCGGTACTGAACATGTTTTCCCCGGTGTCTGCCCCATTGTCACTAGGGGGCACGTCGACATTGAAGTCGTAACTCGGTAGGTTGCCATTGCTGTTCGACCAGTCATAATCCCCGTTGAGATTATTGTCGCCGTTGAAGTAGTCGGTCGTGTTGAAAATGTCGTCAAAGCCCAGTTCCGGGTTTGCATTGTTGTGGTTCTGATCCGTTACTCCCGGAATCGAACCAGTCGGACTCAATGGGACCACATTACCCATCAGGTTCTCCATACGCGCGGATTGCTCCTGCAATTGTTGTTGGATCTGGTTGATGCGATTCCGTTCCAACTCGAGTTGTTCGATATTGGAACCGGCGGTACTGCCAATCGGACTGTAGGACGTTAAGCTACTGTTCCCGTGGTTTGCGCCATTTTGAGGGCTATTAGCCAGTTCATCGGACATCATGCTCAGCATGTCCTCCCGCTGGCGTGGTGTCAAATTGTTACTATTTTGCAAATGAGAGAAAGCTTCAGGAAATTCCATCCGGGTGCTGGTGGAATCGTTCCGAGATAGCGCATTTGCGTTGTGCGAATTGATCACTGACATTATGTCTGCCTCGGGCATTTGCTGGTCAGCGTCGTGGTTTGGCTTGACCTGGGGCGATTGGGAGGACCGATTGGAAGAGGTACCGCGGTCAGAGAGTTCTCGAATTGCTGGAGAATCCATGTTGGAGCGAGATCTGGTAGGATATTCGTAGCTGTCTGGAGTCGCTTTGCCGTAGGATTGGTTGTAATTCTTGGGACTGTCCAGGGTCGTAGCTGGCGAATTCGCACTACCGTCTTTGAGAAGTAATGGCTGTCTTCGGAACGGCTGCTGCTGACTTTGAACATTGCTCGGACTCTGAGTATTGTCATCGCCAACCTCGACAACATTACCCTGGCCTTGCTTATTTGGCAGACCGTTGAAGAGGTTTCTCATGTCCATTGTCGTTCCTTGATCGAGATTCTTGTTGTAGATTGTCGCAAGAAAGGTTAGGATAGCGTTGATGGAGTTATCATGTTGTTCATGCATGTGGTGGAAAGCCTTGGCCTGATGGTAGAGCTGATCATGCCTTATTTGTGTCATATTCAGCAGCTTGGTGATCTTGACCTGGTTGGCTCGGATGTCTGCGAGCTCCTGCTGGATTGCTGCGAATTGGTCAGGTGGAAGACTAGTCCCGGCATTGCCTAGCATGAGAGGCTGCCGGCCAGTGCCTATGCCGGTACCACTGTCAATCGGTCCATAATTTGGGGGTATCGAGCTATCTCGGTTGAAGGTGTCATCGACTTCCTCATCCGCATCTTCTTGCTTTGCTCTTGTGCCTCCCTTCCCAGTGCCCTTCATTGGAGCGTTCTTCGGCTTTTGAATCAGCCATAACAGATTTGGACGGTCTCTCTGGAAGTATGGGTTTGAATACTCGCTAGGGCTTTTGTTCTTTCTCTCGCCAGCTTTCATGGAACCATCGGATAGAGCCACCTGCTTATGAAATCCATACATATTCAGCTGTCGCACGAATGAGGCGTAATTGTTGTGCTTGAACAGTTCCGGTATTAAGGTTCTCGCAAACTCATCCTCGTCGATGACGATGAAAGAGTCTCCTTTCCTAGACCACCGTATCAAACCTTCCTTAGCTGGATCTTTGAGGAAACTACGCACGTTAGCTTGAACTCCTACATAGAGGCTGTGGTGCCTTACCTGCTAAGCTTCTGCACGAACGGCGGTATCTGCTTGCGCTTTGCTTCCGCGTCCCTCTTTGCCCGCAGAGCTTGCTGATCCAGGTCATCTTCCTGATTCGAATAGCCTTGTGAAGGCCCTTGCATTTCATAGCCTGGCGCTGGCGGAAATTCGTTCATTGTATTGTTGTTATGGTACTTCACCATATCCATCTGATTGTCCGGCATGTATCGCATAGCTTTACTGGGTGCTGGAGAAGAGGGCATTTGTTCTTTGAAGTACGGGTTACCTTGATCGCGGTAATTGTTCAACAAGGCTGTGGATTCAAGATTCTGGGGCATGTGGCTGAGTACATCGGCTTGAGTTGGGTATTGATACTGATCCCGCGCTGCGTAACCGTGGCTGTTGGACATATCTGGAGAGTTGGGAAGGCCATTGGATTGCGATTGGTGGGGGACGAGCATGGCTTTCCCGGCGCGAAGGGTGGGCATTGTTGGAGACTGGCTATTGTGTGTCCCTATTTCTTGTACCTCCGGCTGTCGCGCAAAGGCCCCAGACGCTGAACGCTTCAGTGAAGCCCGTTGCGCTTGCATTGAATCCTCTGTACTCTGAACGCCGTAGATGTGTCACTGCTCCTCGGATAAAGCCACGGCTTCCCGAGTCTTCCAATGGGATCAGGCGGCCCCGGGTCCCAGTCTTCAAGCAGGTTGGTGCTTCCCGAGCATAGGGTCGCTGTTGGAGGCAAAGTATCGAGAAACTTACGGAGCGCGGAGCACGGAGTGTGGAGTAGGATCTAGAAGACGGTACGATCTAGTAGAAGGGCGACGGAGGATTATGAAGGTGTTTGGGGCGGCAGCCTGATCAGGCAAGGCTTTGATCACAGAGCGGCGTTGTTGATGTGTCTCTTGCAGCTGTATCAGTCAGACACATGCAACGAGTACCAATATACATGAAAGAATTGTTGTTCAAGGAGGGTAGGCGCCTAGAGAGATTTGAGGAACTGCTCTGGGACAATCCCGGAAAGAGGTGGAAATGGAGTGAGGCAAGTGTGCTTTGGAGTCAATATCTGAGGCGCATGAAAGGTTACATGAAAGTATGGACAAGAAATAGAGAGTTCTGGCACACAGATATAGAAATATGAGTTGGCGCGACGCAATTACAATGACTATCACACAATATCTGTAACTCCGAAAGACCTGTATGATATCAATCAGCCTTATGACATAATTGGACTGTTCTTATTGGTCTGCTATCCGAGAATCATAAGCGCGAGCCGCAGCTACCAATGAACAACAGCTTCCAAACCTGAATTCTCTCTACAAGTAGGAAAGGGCGGAGCACTTAAACAACCACGTGGGTGTTGGAGATGGATTTTTCATTATATGGGCTACTTCCTTGACCTAAGCTCTATCTACTCTTAATTCATGATCCAGTGTAAGAATCTTCACCCCTTCTCACCCGCTCTCCTATCTGGTATTCGGCCCCGATCTCTATCCCTGTCCCAGGCACTACTCCCACCCATCCTAGCCATTTTTTTCGCTCTCTGCTCCTCCCTGATATCCTTCGCCTTCTCCCTAGGATCAATCACAACCAGCTCCTCCTCGTTCTTTTTCTTCCAATTCAAATCCTTGCCCAACCTGTCCTTTTCAAAGCTCAAAGCATGATACATCCATCCTTGATTATCATCATCCTGCCCGTTGGCATTGTTTGACATATCATTGTACCACGACTGACATGACTGGCAGTTGGCAATAAAGTGAAGATCGCATAATTTTGCTTCATCATCATCATCATCATCATCATCATTGTTGATTACTTCTTTTTTGTCATGACCATTGACTCCGTCTTGCTTGTCTTGCTCATGAGTCACATGTGTTTTGGCGGGTTCAATCTCTGGAGGTGCCTGTTCCAGCTTAGCGCGGAATGCATTCAGTATGTCCAGTGTCTGCTTGTCTGCAGGTGCATCACCGTTATGCTTGCGCTTACGCCCACGCATGGAGGTTTCTGGGATCATCTGTTCCAGGGCAGACTTCTTCCTAGTATCAGCAGCTGGTGCCATTTGCACGTTGCGCTTCATAGAAGCCTTCAAATCTGCAATCTGGGCATTCGTCTTGTCCAGTAAGCTAGAGACTTTGTCCACCTGCGCTGGCTCTGGCGAGCTAGACGGTGACCTTGACGGCTCTTCATCTTGGGGCAGCGGAAGCTGCATCTCCTTGTTGGGTTCAACCCTGTGGGGCGGAGTCTTCGACCGAGATGACCTTCGCCGTATGCTCTTCTCCACACCCCGCTCGGGGGGCTTTAAAGCTCTATTGACCGCCTTCTTTGGTCCTGCATCACCACTGGCACTAACCAGCTTCGTATTGAACTTCTCCTTCTTCAGCACCGGCTCCACCACACCATCTTCACCCTCCTCACCCCCAAAGCTCAGCAGCACCTTCGCACCCTTCTTTTTTCCCTTCTTCTTGCCCTCCTGCTTCTGCCCAACCTCTGTTCTCGCCTTCACCTCTCTCATTACCATATCCTCAAAAGGATTCACCAAGATCTCCGCCCCAGTAAACGTCGTAGGATAAATCGGCCTATCTGTTCCCTCTCCCGCCTGCAGCTCCGCCTCCCCCATCTTCATCAAATTATAGATCGTATCTCCAACCACCCTCCCAAACAACGTATTCCTTCCCTCCAGCTCCCTGGTCTCCCCCAGCGTAAGGAAGAACTGGCTCCCGTTACTCCCCTTCGTCCCTTCATTTGCCATTCCCAACAACCCTCTCCTGCTAAATTTGAGTCTGCTGTGGAACTCATCTTCGAATGGCGCCCCTCCCGGGAAGACGGATTCGCCCCCATCGCCAGTGTTTGTGGGATCGCCGCCTTGTATTATGAAACCGGGCACGAGACGGTGGAACAGTGTACCGTTGTAGTAGCCATCGAGGCAGTGTTGAAGGAAGTTCCGGCTAGCGAGGGGTGTCTGCTTTGCGAAGAGCTCGAGCAAGAGGTCGCCGGATGTGGTTGTTAGGAGGACTTTGGCGGTGGGTGGAGGCTCAAGGTTGTAGACCGCGGACATTGTTTTTTTCTGGAAGGAAGGATAGGTAAAAGCTCCGTGACCAAGCCGGGATCGTAGGTAGCCCTCGTGCAGATGGAGAGCGAGGAGTGAGAGAAAGGTGGGAGGTCTTGGCGCAGAATGCCAAGCTTTGCCTAAAACGTACCTCAAGTACCTTAGCGAACACGGCAAGGGTTAAGCACGCGGGTTCCAGAATTCGTCGTACACCCTAGTCCAAATTAGGCGCTAGGGTGTACGACGAGTTCTGGAACCCGCGTGTTACGCTAGTCTCTAACCGGATAAGGCGTTATCCGACGGAATATCACCTCGACATCCCTCGCTGTTTTTCCACCACGCTCGTCTTTGAATAATATACTGCTTGAACCCTCTTCTCTGAAGCCCACGTCAAATGTGCCTCGTCTGAGTTCCTCTTCCGGCCGGTGTCAAAAAGCGCTCGGCCATAGTTCAAGGGTAGCATATATTGAACATATCAACGCCTGATCTCAGCCGAGCTTCGAAATACATTAAATTATATCGATGAAGTCAAGCTCATGCTCGGTGAACGCGGCATCGAAGTCAAGGACGGAACGACAAGGCTTGCGAAAGTATTCGCCTTCTGATAGCTAGAAATCCAGGAACTCGAGTGTAAAATATGCTCGATCTTCTCCCTGGCACGCTACTTATGCCAGGTGTGCGACCCATCACACCTATGTTATTGACATCTTCGAAATTGAGACGGATTTCTTCCTCAACGGTTTGCCATTGAGAAACGCAGGATGACTCTACGCAGCACCGAATCAATGGCGATGAAGTCGTCACCTCGTGTCAAGCCCTATGGGACCGTCATTGGAAAGGCCGACAATGGGTAGGAAACGATGCGCTCTGTCGGATTGTAATCAGACGCAACGATCGGTACGACACCAGATCAACCCCAAATTAGAATAGAAACTTACGACTTTGATTTTGTCTTCCGTAGGCCATCTGAGGGCAGGATGTCCGCTGGTAATACCGACTATCTGGGAGAAACTAAACCCCTTCTCAAGATATCCGTGAAGCCGTCCGTATGCCCGTTAAGCGCAAGATTAACACACTATGCAGAGTGCAAGACTCACCTCGGCGTGCTCAAGTCGAACTATGGTCCAACATGCAACTTCGACAGCTGACTTAAGACGAGTGCATCTTTACCGATAGACATCCCACAGGCTGGTAAGGTGCTTATCGGTCAACGAGCTTCAATGTCTAGCGGGTGATATCCTCCGTCAACATGCTCATTTGGATCAACATGTCGCCTGACTTTATCTCAACTCAGCCGCGTATGCAGCATAGCCACGGATTCGTCGTGTCTCGTTGAAGTATGCGGAAGCACTGAACGACTGGCTCACCTCACATAGCTGGTATACATTGGGACAAGGCAGAAAGACCAAAGTCCCTGGCAGAAGCCACTCCTGTGGCCGCATGTGCTTTGACAAGTTTGTCGGACGTAGCCGAGTCACCAGCCACGACCATTCCGTAGCATTTGGTTACTCCCTTGTACCTCGATGTAGCTTTGAGCGGCTAACCGAGATGCTTTTTGCTTCATGAACTTCGACTTCACCATAGTCAAAGAACTTCCGTCGAGTGTTCTTGTAAGGTCTAGATGCCGCTTGACCTTACGACGCCTCAAGCCACTACTTGTGGTCGGCTGGCACTAGCTCTGCTGTTATTCACCAAAGGCAAGGCTCCCCCAACAAGATTCTTCGACCTTTTCTCTTTTCTTTCGGCGCTCGGCAAGATATAACAACCTTGAGAGCGGCCTTCAGTGAGAGTATCGGAAACGGACCACCGTCTGGCCGGTGAATTCCAGTGAGGTCTTCGGGAATCGGAGAAGACACAAGTTCAAGTGACAATAGCCTCACGACGGATTTTACACGATCGAATCATTACACTTTCATCTCACCTACGTATCAATCATGGATCATTGATGAGCGAATTTTCCTGAAACCTTTGCCTCTCCTATCAAGGGTTCAATAACATCCAACACCGTAGGGAATTTGGTAACATCGCGGTGGAGGACCGAGATCAGGAAACTCGATAGTTGTCAACGCAGTAAACTTCGTTAGTGTCAGGCCAGTAAACTATCCTGCTTTCGATATCGTGAAGTATTCATAAGAGACAAAGGCAACTACATTCCCGGGGTTACTTTCGTACAGAACTTGACCGCTTCTGCAGTCCTGCTGGTAACGTTCACCTTTGGCAGCGTACAGATAATCTATTGTTAGAAGGTGATTAGTGAATAAGATTAGCGGAGGCGGAGGTATGGCGCTTACTAGATCTTTGTAGTGGACAGAACGTCTTCTTACGAGGGACCTGAAGATTCTGTCCCACTCGAGCCATGGTCCTGTACACTCTGCTGCTCACCAGTGTCTTCCGGCAGGGACCTCGAATCAATATATCGTAACACAAGCTTCGTCGGCTCTACTCCTGATGGAGTTTTGAAAGCGTGCTTTCTTTCAAGTCGTTCGCGTATTCTTTCTTGGATGACACCCCACCTTGCCAGCTCATTTTTGCTGTATTACCCGCCGGTCGCCGCCTGGAAGGCTTTTAAAATCGCTCTCGGACATTACTTCTCGCTCTGGACGGCGGGACACCCGTGCCAATTTCATCCATGTGAATCTAGCCTTGGTGGAATCATAAGGCAGGCCGTGAGCTGACGTCCATTTCTCCTCCCATTTATGAAGCGATTTTTGCCACCGAGGAAATTTGATGTCATAGTAGTCTCTCGAAATCTGAGAGAACAGCCTATCATCGTTATATCTCTCCACGATCATGTAGCATAGATCCATGGTATCCATCACCACCCAACTGATGTCGGCAGGAGATAGAATTTCTGGGCATGGGCAGCGTTACCGACCAGGACAGCGGGCATACTCAATCCATCTGAAAAACCTCCGTCGCCAAATCGTTTCTCCCCATTTGGACAGAATTTAAATACCACTTCTGAGATGCATCGATAGCCTTACAGATCTCATAAGCTGCAGCAAATGGAGGGGGGAGTGATTAGAGACAGTCTATCTCCGACCCAATCATTACATCGAATCTGTAGTCGACCCGCGGAGTGCTGTGAGCGGTCGCCATAGCTAATGTTGATATTCCGATAGATAACACACTACTAGTGATTATTCAGAATTTGCATTTTTCGACGAGGGCGGTTAAGTAGCAATTCAGATTCCGCGACGTATCGCAGCCGGTGCCCAGCCGATCACCTCGAGTTCAAACACAGTACAGCTCCACTAGAACTCCACAACGACAAGATTTACAGAGGAACGGCCGCCTATAATGTTGCAGAACTTCCCTTGCTCTTTGAGTTATGTATCTGATGTTTTGTTTGTTTAATAAAGTGCGTTGAAAAGTTGCCGAACACTGGGGTACATGCTATGGGAAGGTGGTGGATATGTTGTAGGTCAGGTACTAGTACAAGGTGTTCCAGACAACAAAATCCCAGTCATCAAACCCCTTAAACTTGTCCGACTCCAACGAGACCGATACAGAATGACGAAAGGAGAAATAATAAAGAGGGTCATATTAGGGCTCATTGATTCTGCAAAGGAAGTGTCAGCCCTCAAGAGGCACTGGTCATGTTTGAGTCTTGCGTTGATTGCCTCAAAGTGCGCTTATCATGGACCCATGGTCGTGACTTACTCGACGAAAGCCCACTCCGTGGACACGAGGTTCCAGCTGATTCTTCCCCCCCTGCTCTCGCATCAAATTTTAGCTTACTCGATGTTTCCTGGGCCCATGAAACCCAACACCCCCACACCCCCCCGGGGGTTCAAATTCCGATCGGTCAATCTAGATATCAGGAACAGGATAGCTATTTCCGCGCTCTTTGTGCAGGAAGAAAGGAGGGATGCCGGAGAGCGAGTGGAACTGATCTGCAGCAGAATCGGCTCAAGACAAGGCACCCAGCAGGGGCACGGTTCTACCTCTACTCACATTGCTGTCCTTCATCTTTAGTTCCAAGACAAGGCACCCAGCAGGGGCACGGTTCTACCTCTACTCACATTGCTGTCCTTCATCTTTAGTGTGCCACTCCAATCTCCAATCATTCCAAAGACCGAGTGGACGCTTCGCGATGATATGGCGGGTATTTTGGGTAGGTGCGAGGAAGAGGGAAAGTGGGGTTGGAAATGAGTGGAAAATGTGCGGAAGATGTGTTGAGTTTTGAATTGTGCGCTCCCTCGATTCGCCTGTCTTAGTCGGCTTTCAACTTAACAACTCCATTATAACTATGCATGTTTGGGAGGGGAGGTAGTCGATTATTGCTTGCAACATCTACCTATCGGCCTGATGTTCATGCTTTGGCACAAATCGTCTTTTGCCCGATCTTCATCAGCCCCTTCAGATCAGATTGCACACCCTATCCCTCGCCACCATTGACAGGAGGCAGAATGCAATCCCTGATCAACACCCGACCATCTTGATGCACGCGGGGTCCAGGGAAGTTCGATGTTGAGTGATAAACATCTGCGGATCCAGCTTGTTAGCAAAGGTCTGTATGGTGGCTCAAATAACATCATCACCCACCTGTCTGACCGTGTTTGTAATGCCACACCAATCTCCACGTCTCAGCCTCGAAATCACCTCGTATAACAGTCACGAACATTGTATCCCTCTCATTGGCAAGAATCGAGTATTTGGAAGCCTGCACGGGAGTTCAGTACAGGTAATGGCAAGTGAAAATGGTTTGGGGAGGGGGAGGGGGTTGTCACCAGTTCTGTGAGCAGCCGGGATCCAGTAATCGAGGTCTTACTAAGATACAATCCATAGAACATTCTTTGGTTGACGCCGTGACGGCGCAGCTGAGCGCTGATGTCTGCGTAGAAATACTCCGTCCACTCTTCGAGGGTTGCCATGGTGTTCAATACTGGCATCTAGATCGAAGGTCTTGGCTGCGGCAAGTTGGGAAGTTGAAGAGAGCGTGAGTTCAAGAGGTGATGTGAAAGTCGAAAATCACGAAGTGAGAGACGCTCTGAGAGAATTGCCAC